TATATATATATATATATATATATATATATATATATATATACATATATTACTGTAACGTTGATTTATGGTAGCGCAGAATCCAACACCACAACTTCCTAATGTATCGAATTTCGAAAAACTACTGTAATTTTAATTTCTCAGAACACTATTCAAAAAAAAGAAAAATCGTGCAAAAATGGAAGGTCAAACGTTAAAATCTATAACTTTGGGTTTCTCATCATAATCTGCTAAGCATCAAAACATCGAAGACTCTCGTCTGGATAGTTGAATTAGTTTTAAGACGGTAAAGCACACCCTTCTATTTATTCGTCCAAATCAAAGATCCAATGTATATATTGCGTATGCCAGGTCATCTTTCCAACTTTCATTACAAGAGGAAATATAAGCGTCTCACTATCATAATCTCCTTTCAGAAATAAGTGAAAATTTTAGAAGAAAATTAGAAAGCCTATCAGCCTATCAGCTGATAATATCATATTACTGTGATATAGTAAGTGCGCGTACTTGTCGATTCGAGTTAGAAACTGGCACAGTTATGCGATTTCGATACTTCCAATCAGTTATATTTTGCAACCGGAATGTTACTGGCGGTCGATTTAATCGGCGTTCTGATAACTGAAGTTCATCTGCATTACGCACATCGCCGCGACCTTTCGCTTCAAAACTACCAACCAAACTTTTGACCATATTTGCTGCACACTGTTCATTCTTACTATGGCAGCGTGTAACTTCCTCACTCTGAAATCAGAAAAACGCAGGGAAATTTATAAATAAAAAATATTGCTCATGATAAACAATGACTAACTAATACGTTCACGTACTTTTTGAAAAAATATGCTTCTTTTGTTATAGATGTAACAGAAATTGTTTTGGTCAAAACAGCATTATCCGGGCAAAAACTTCACATAACCTCGTGAAATCTGAAATGGGCCGTTTAAATCGAATAAGGCCTAACTCGTAAAGGCACCATCGAAGTAAAAGAAAAACTCAACTGAATTCGATGACTGAAGAGACCAAACAGTCAAACACCAACAAAAACTCACATCCATAGCATTCCTATCACATTTGTCCAGTATACGACGGAAACGTACTGAATCAACAGGCTCAGCTGATGTCGATGATGAAATATCAAACTGATTTCTTTTCTTGAAAGCATGTAACATACCTAAAGTAGCAATGGTAAAACACAAGTAAATATCTTGACATTAATAACCCATGTATCATTTTTTAGCGAGTATTAATACTGTATTTCCATTGTCGCTGGAACTGCATTTGAATCAGAATGCGACAGAAATCTTATGCAATGAATACTTAATCAATTTCAAATAAAGTGGTTTTGGAAAAAAATAATTGCTTCACTTCTTTTTGCTTCGACAGCTGCAGTGCAAGGCTTATATTCTTCCTCATACCCTATGCATGCCTAAATAAAAATAGAGAAACAGCTATTTCATACAGACAGGAAAAATTCATAGAAAATTGCCTTTTCAACAATATTTTGGAAGAAATTTTGCAAGGGTGTTCTTGGCACGGATAGGGGTTAAGGTTAGGTTATGTAACAAAACATCTCGATCACCGCTAAGTCATTAATCAAAAACAGACAAATATCACTAATTATTCAGAGACGCTTATGACTTCCAAGTAAGATCATTCGAAAAACAACCTTTGAAATATCCCTTATGCGGTCCTATTTTTTCTTGAAAGCTTCATAACCACTTTTTAAAGCTCCCAGACAATAGTTACAGTATTACTGCTTTACGATTAACAAGTGATGGCGAATATTCTCTGGACGCCTAAAGCAGTCCAAACGATACTTCCCACCATGTTTTAATTAACAGCTATGATGCAATGTTCAAAGAAATATTACAGTGAAATACCTGAATATTACAATGAATTATCTGACTCTGACGGGACCAAACCATAAGAATTAGGCAACTATACATATAATTATAGAGTCCAATATAGACATTAAATTTACTTTCTAGATAAAGTCACCTTCAAATGTTCTGAGCTGCTCCACAAAGCCAATATTTGGTGTAATACATCCTCTCTTATTTTTCACATGTTCCATTGCTTGCGAAAGTGCCCATCCATATTCCTAGCAAAAGGAAAATATTGATTATTAAAAAAACTGCCAGTCGGTAAATAAAACACTATCAGTATCATTTATTTATAGTCCTGGAATATTACTGCAAGACTGTAAGAGTTCTTCCGAAAACCAATTTAGACTTTCCATAATCCGAACAGTAAATAAACAAACAAGGAAAGCAAATTCCAGATTAAAAGTAAATATGAACGTAGCCACACCTTCATTGCAAAAGCTATCACTGTAGACGATGACCGGCTGATACCTTTTTTGCAATGCACTAATACAGCAACGCCTTTTTCCCTTAAAAAATAAACGTGAACAAAAACGATCAATACTATTAGTTCTTCATCAAAAACCCTGATTAGAAAGACAAAAATCTAAGTTCAAAAGATTAAAATGTGCTGAATTCTTACTTTGCTTCTTTAATGAACTGATTGGTTTGATTCCAATATTTTAGCAATTCGGTACTAGCCTCATCCGAAACACGTATCTTTAGATATTTTAAACGAGCAGGGAAAAAATTTTCCACCTCGTTAGTTACATTAACGATGTATTTAATTCTAAAAAGTAAAACGTTATCGAGAATTTACTCATACGCGCTTTTCTTGAACATCAGATGTAAAATTATGGATTGAAACGAAGTTGGAGTTCGAAATCCGTTGTGGAAATAAGATCATTTTCACTTACTTAAACATAAAATACGTTTTTTACCAAACTTACTGACCTATATCTAACCAAATTTTACGATATCATAAACTGCTCACAAAACAAATGAGTTAAAAAAATATTCAGAGTATCAGTTTTTGAGCGCGTCTAATTTACATACCCATTATTTTCAAGCCATTGCCAATCACATGCGTTCCATTCAGTACCCAAATAAAGGTAAGGAAAAATCTGTGATGCTGTATCCATCTGTCCCATAATAACCATCATTTGACGACTGATAAAATCTTTGTAATTATCCAATTTCATATGCATGCTCTCTTCTACCTGAACAGTTTTACCCTAAATTCCAAATTCTAAGTGGAAAAAGATGCACACTGTTGCGCCAGCACAAGCAATTATCAAGAAAGAAAATTAAAATCAACCTTTAAACGAATATCTCTACTTGTAACTTCATCCAAATCCGCAGTTTGCATCACCTCTTTCAATTGTTCATAAATTCGAGCTTCCACTGAACAAATATAGCGAGAAAATTGGTGAATATGAATGTAAAAAACAACATAACGTCTAATTTATGAATACAATCATGGAGAAAAAAATAATTTTATTTCGCAAAAAGCGATTACCAGAATCGTCATCACTTCGATAATCATGACTGAGCCGTTCCGCATCAGCACTTGTTGCTCCCAAATCGTTACTTGTTTTACCGGTACAGTATGATGTTGAACGTTCCCTTCAAATTTGAAATCACTTAAAAAAGATGATTCGAAAAAGTAAATTTAAAAAATCTAATGCAAACTATTACACAAATTTTGCCGAGGCCTAATAAAAGATTAAATTAGCTTTTCAAATAAATGATGAAAGCCTTCATATTTTAATCAGTGTAACTTTCGAAGCATTTGGGTTTTTTATTTGCTTCTTCGTAAATGCAATAACCGCAAAAAAATTGGAAAATTACTGCAATTATTTTACACTTCAAACAAAAAGTTAGAAATTAACAGTAGCCATTACCATCAAGAAAGGGAACTGTGAAATCTTATTTACTCTGCAAAATGATTTTCAAAATTCTATCCAAAGCCGTTTTCCGATTGATTTGGGCTTTTCTCGATAACAGAAGAAATCACCACGCAGAGCACATGGCTTGAATAGAAACAGGTTTGATGATGGATTAAAATTACAACCATCATAGATCAAGAAAAATCATGCATTGCAACTTAGTAACAAACCACATTGTGATTATGGCATCGTCCGATGATACTTGCTCATTATAATAATCGATCAAACGCTTCGCTGTTTTCCCAAACTGTTGCGCTGAACTTCTTGCATTTTGTGCGTCGATTAATTCCTACAAAATATTTGTGAATAACACAGTCTAGTTCAACATGAACTCCATTCAAGACAGCTGATTAGCTCCAAATGCAATTTCAAAAATTCATCAAATTAAAGAATTAAAAAATACATTAAAAAATACTTTATGTAATCTTTGAAACATGGTCCACATAGCTTGAACAGAGACAGGCCTGAATATATGTAATGATGAATCAAAATCAACAACCACACCACCATCACCATCTAAACTCACTCGAGTTGAAGCATAAACCGGAATAGTCACACCGATCCTGTAATCCACCTTGTTTAGAACGACTAAAAATTATCATCAAAAATCTGCTACTCTTAATGTATATAATCCATGAATCGGATCCTTCTGCAAAATTTTCAGTATAGCAGAAAGCTAATTTTTATTAAAAGCTCGATTTCATATTGTTTCATTAAAAACAGCAGTAGATATGTAGTTAACTTACGCGACTTTATTATTTGGAAGACAATCAAGGCCCAGCAAAACAACTTCTCGGACATTCTGAAAGTTAATCTCCCGATGACGTGTGGATGATACAACAGCTAAATAACGAGCACGGTTTATTGAACTGGTAGCCTCGACAGCAGCTGGCTGTAATCTTACAGCCATTGTAAGATTATCGTGAGGGGGCAATATATTTAGTATTGCTTGCAAATGTCCTTCAATTTCACCTGAAATATAAGAAAAGCCATGGAAGAAGCGCTATGTAATTCGATTTTCAATAAAGTTTAAAATACAGGGAAAGATATTGCTACGGATAAACTATTTTTGATAGCTTACCTGAAATCTCTCTATCCTATTCAGGCTCTTACGTATCTTCTACCTTTACATACTTCGCCATGAGTTATCTCTTATTTACTACGCTCAACCTCTCATGTATTTGTGTACCGTGTTTAATCTCCTATCTATAAAACGAGAAAATCAATATATCAGAAACAAGTAGTCTATAAAACTCCATTCATTATTTGTTAAACAAACACCCAATTTATACTTTCTGGAAACTTTTTCTCCATACACTGATTACATTGACTACAGAATGCTTGTTTTCGATATACTGACTTAAATTATTGATTCAAATTATCAAGTAAAGATAAAATGAACACCTACCACCAGTATTATGACATCCAACATTTGTACGATCGGGTTGCAATAAAATTACCGCAGTACCCTTCACGTAAAAATAACATTCCGTATTTGGAAATGGTTCTCTAAATGGTGGCAAACCACATTCTGATGCATCGATATCCTGAAAAATATTAAAAATATAAACATTACTCTTATAATAAAAGGAAATTTTGTCAAAACCCAACCCTCTTAAAATTCAAATTTCAGCGGTAAACGAGCATCAGTATATCCTTCGAATTTTTTCCCAGGTATTGACAGAAACGGGAAATAAAACTACAAAAAGGATGTACTTTGTTACCGTTTGATCGAAATTTCCATTTTCACTTGGTGTCGGTGAACGTTGCACCGTTACCAGTGACATTATCGAATTAAATCTGAAATAATTATAGCAGTAACAATACTTACCAACTCTGAACAAATACGTGTATTATAGTTTAAGAAAATAGGCAGTAGGTGAACGCATACAAACGCATTTAACCTTAACCTATATTTATTATAGCATCATGTCAGCTGAAGATAAGATCCAAACACAAATTATAAATGATTGATACATAATATCAAGTAGCATACCTTTACACTTAATTTACTATTTGTTACTTATTTTTTTAAAAGAAGAATGAAGTTTTGACTGATATCTGTCTAATCGTTTTGACGTGGAAAACTAAGTGAAAAGACCCACTGGAAGATGTAACAATTCACATTAACAATTTGAAATGTCATAAACTAATTAGCTATAAGAAACTAATAAATGTTTGTACACGATAAACAATGAAGGAAAAGTAAAATTAATCAGGAAGTAGAAGTACCAAGAAATCCCGTCGAATCACGAGAGAATTATAACAGGATCAAACCAAAAATTTCATTCTAAAACTTGTTATGCCCAAATTACATAAGTAGTAATGCATAACATTTTTACATGCAGCACACATTACTAGGTCAATAGTTAAGTGCTATACAAGTTAATGAACGCATAATACATGCTGACAAACATGTGCCAAGTGCATCGCAACGTAACTGTACAAGGGATATACCACACGCTGAAACGTTCGGAATCATTCATAATATAAATGCATTATATACTGGGCTTATTATAATTACATGTAGATACTGATTTTTTTATTCCGATGTACCCACAATGTGCTGCTTTATATCATAGACTAATGGAATTTAGCAGAATCAAAAAAGATGTTTGAAACGGTTAAACATCAAAATCTACCACCGATACTTTCTCATATAAAGCAACCATCCTACAATGCTAATCTCGCATAAAAGCCAAGCTAGAAATAAGAAACGGGGAAAAAGCAACGTAGTAATCTCGTAACACACGTATCAAACAAATACGTAAATTTAAGAACAGGGGAGTATTGGACAACCGCGAAATAACGATGGCTTGACACCATTGCATTTAACAAATTTACGAACTTTGAGAGGTTGTAAAGAGGACGATGCAGGTATTTAGCGGTAGACCATTGCATCAGTGAAAATTGATGAGTTGGGAGTTGTGGTGTACTCATATGCAAGTATTGTTTAACCTCTATTTTAGTAAGATGCATACGAATATCAAAAGCCATGAGATTTAATTTTTCGAAAATACCAAATACTTTACATCTTTCTGTTTAGTTAATTGTTTCATATGTCTCGCAATTTTTCACTTAACCTTACTGGTACTTCATCAATCTTGTTACCATTTCCTCAGGCTATTGTTTTATGAGGTTTTTTTTTCTTTTCTGTTTCTTACTTTATAAACACGTTGCTAACCTTTACAAAGGTATTGCTACTCCTGCTTAAATGCGACTGTATTGCTTTGAGAGGAAAGATTAAGCATATCATTCTGGCAGAGGTATGACTTCAAATGAAATATTGTATTGGGGCAAATTTCCGAAAAGCTAGATCATTCTAATAAGAGATAAGAATCGTAACCGGATTATCTATCTTAATCAATTCCGATGCTTTAAAATTTAGTCATACAAACTAACAGAATTTACAAAAACTATTTCTTAACATATTACTCTCATCTCTGTTCATTTCTATGAATCACATTGTTAATCTTCGGCGTAACATGCTCCTTGGTAACACAAAGTGTTGATCTGCATAGTAAAATTCCCCCGTGTTTCCTATATGCATCTAAAGGAAACAATATTACCTAGATACCTTCTAATTTGTCTTCCATCCTATTATACAATATTTCAAGGAGTAATAATATCTCAGGATGAGGCTCACAGTGTTAACCACCAAACTTCAGAACTGTTGATCATAACTTAATATTCCTTAAATATGGCTCATAACATCGTCAAATTATTTTACATCTCGCTCAATCACCAATAATTTCAACACTTTAACATTATTTTGTTAAGATCAAGCAAACAGTGTCTTTTTAATTTGAAGTCTCTGATGTGTTGTCAGTTTACCAAACCGCTAACTGAGCACACCGAAGATCGAGTTTTTGTGCAGGATATTTAAATTATCACTAAGCGATTACATCACCATGCGGATAAAATTCATTGTACGAACATATTTAAGCAATTTTAAGGGAAAAGATTTTTCTCCATGAGAAAAATAGGAAAAATCACAAATTTCTGAAGATATCGCACATTGTACAAAGCCACGGTATATATGATAGCTATGAACCAAAAATCACAGTACTTTCTTTTTCTTCCACAAGAAGCACGTGGTTAAAATAAAATTACATTTAATCATTTTGCCATATACAAATAAGAGCTTACCTGAATAAGTGTTAAGGAAAATCACTGACCTATTTTAAGTTATACCCATGCCCATAAATTAACTAGAAACTTAACAAATTTTTAACTTCCGAAACTTTATAACTTTTTACCATTCTCATTTTACGGCTTCTTGTCATTCCCTTAAATTTTACCTTTGAAAATGACCAAAAGAGAAAAAGAGAAGATGAAGCTTTCGGATTCGTTTATTTCACAATCGTATGTACAAAAACTACGGTAGCTCAGTCTAGAATATTGTAATCAACGAAAACTTAAATTGCCGAATTTTTTACTCCTAACAGTATTCATCTTCCTCACTCAAACTTTCTATACAGCCTGCTCTAAGATGACACTGGCAAATTTTACTAGAAAAGGAACCGCTAAATTCCAGAGAACATTCTTTACACGTTTTTTTTTTTCTTTCAAGTTATGAACTAAATTTACAATAACAATAAATACCAAGAATTTATTATGCGAAAAAAAGTTTCGTTTTTTTCGCTTCGAACTAAATCGTAATGACTATTTTTTTTTCTGGGTAAAGAACTAAATGGATGAATTAGCAAGCTGTCCAACTCCTTCTTTGATGTCTGTATTCACAGCATCCCTTGCTTCATAAAATAGGATGTATGCAGATTCACTGTTTTTTTGTACACCACATTCCGAAAGACCAAAAAAATCCTCAATCGCCATAGGATCAATTTTCTGGAAATCAACCATTTTTTGCAGCAGATACAAAAAAAGCATCAATTCTCTTTATTTCCCCCTCATTATTGAAAAATTTGAAAAATAACCCCAGCTAATTTTTCTCAGGAAACTCTCATTACTTGATAAAGCCCTGACCCTAAAAATGTAAAATCACTTACGTCAACGATGTCGTCATCGAATAGAAGCCAGAAATTATGCGACTTTACAAGCGTAATATAATGGCCACGATTTGGCGTAGAACCACAATGTACCACAACTGCACATAAATCATACAGACGATCCCTGTTCACTGCATCATCACTCTAAACAAACATTAAATTAATAAAATTAAAGCAAGGACATAATACTTTCAAGAAACAGTGTGGAAATGAATCCTGAGAGATACCGACACTGATATTATACATGACTATTAATTATTTCATATTTTGGATAAATTTAACATCATGCAAGACATGAAATACATTTATTTTCACATCCTACAGAGGTTTCACGATATAATTTCTTAAATATAATCTTTCATTGCAAGTTATGATTTTCTTAAAGCATTACTTTCATGCGAATCATTCGATCCTGCCAGGATTTTTTTTTTATTTTTATGATAGGACTTAGATTCTTTATTACAAACATCCAATAAACTTTTCTTACGACCACTGATATTAACACAAAATAAAATTAAAAACACAGAATGAGGAGAATGATTAAGGTTAAGAAATTCAAAGAAATATATCGACTCCTCTCAGTACGTCACTGTTTTCTTCAATTTCATTTTTCAACAGTGAATGAAATAGACATCCGGTGAATGGAGATGAACTCAAATATAATTACCACATTGAAAAGACGTAATTCAAGTGGGAACAACACTCGATATGACAATTTTGTATGGCGATTCATTTGTTCCACATATTTAAATCGTTTTAAATGCAGTGCTAACATCTGCGGCAATTTTTTAATACGCATACGTTTTTGAGCCTGCAAATTTTTGAAATTTCTGTCATAGGTTACAGATATTGTCACAAACACAGAAAGAGAAGCAAACAATGAAACTCTTACTTCCTTTAAACATGAAAGGAAAATGCTTAAAAGAGCAAGTAACACCTCATGTTTTGAACAGCAATTTTCGCAGTAATATTTTTGTTCCCCTTGCAATGTTTCCATGTCAGAAAAGACGCGTAAACAATGGGTAATTGATGCATTCTGTTCAACGTCAACGCTTAAATCCAAAAAATCTTCATCCTTGCTTGATACCTAAACATTGAAAAAAGTGGGATGCAATTGTCTCATCTAATTAAAGGTAAATTCTTATGTCAATTTTTACTACATGTTTCAGATGTTATAGACATCCGGTGCCACCCGCCCATTAGAAAATTTCGATAGCAGTCTCTGTAATTCATTTTTATAGCTTAACAAACTAGCTTTTTTACTGCACTTCCGACCAGTTATAGACACTTAAAATCAAATCAACAGTTCTTTCTTCTTTCGGGAACGACATTACACATATGAGAGATTTTGAAGACATAAAATTTCGGATGGATTTTGGAAAGGAAAAATTATGCAGCAAATTATATTTTAAATTAAAAAAACCGGGAGAACTGCACAAAGAGTTTAAACTAATTAAGCCTTCACAGAATATCAAATGTAGAATTTGTGTATTGTAATGAAAAATTTATTAAACCAGATAATGGATTTTGCCACAGCCACAGTTATAAGCATTCTTAATATTTGGTACATTTTCCAAGCTCTTCAATTCCCCATATTGCAAAATCTCTGCCCTATTTTCCAGATACAGTTCCCGAAATTTGACGTTTCCCTTCGAGAAATTCAAAAAGCAGCAAGAAATAATAGTAGAATAAGTTGATGTAAAAGAATACAAACGCACCGTTTCACAATTAAGGCAACGTGTTTCATTAGTTAAGGTTCCTTGGAAAATTTCTTGAATCCATGTAGCGTCACTTTTTGAACTACTCAAATTGAGGCAGATTAGATCAACTTGAAGAAAGAATACTAGTTCATTCTCTAATTTAACAATGTAAAAATGTACTGGCAAAAACGACAAGAGCTAAGCAGTAGCTATACTAGTTAATTCCTACTGCTAAATATGCAGAACAAAATTTTTTTTTACATTTGTTTATTACTACGTTGATTATGAAATTTTTAACTGGTTTTTAAAATTAAAAAAGCTTGAAAGTGAAAAGTTAAACAGCCATTTCACCTTGGTTGACAGAATGCCAGTGATTCACACGGTGGTAGGATAACACTGGCGCCTTTTCTCGTCATTCCATTTGTACGGAGAATTTTTTCCATCTTTTCTATCTTTTTCTCCTCAGCAAGCGTTTCTGATATTGTATTTAGCAAGTAATTTAGGAATTCGTGAGCATCTTGCTGCGAAAAATTATCAAATATACCTGAAATAACGCATAAATTACAGTAAAAAGCAATGAAAAAAAAGTTAAGAGTGAAAGTTCCCAAACTATTGCAAGGCTACAAGAATCTTTTGTTTTTTTCGTGAAACCTCAATAATCAAGACATTTTTAAGAGTATTTTTAATGCTTTAATATTTTTAACACTTTAAGCTACTAATAAAATTCGGAAATTCGCTGCTTTCTAAAAACACAAGTTCGACCCCTTCCATTCTGAATTAGTTAGCATTAACCAGTAACTTCATATCAAAGCAAAAGTAACTTGATTTTTTTATAAATTTTTAGTATTACAAGACGCAGAAGACTATAATTTTCTTATAAAATAAAATTTAGAAAAAGGCAACAAACGGATGATTCTTTCCCTCAACTGCGGTATTTCACCAGTAACTAGGAATGATTTATTTCCTTGCTGAATAAAAAGTGGATGTAAACATATCATGTACTTGCCATTTTCCTTTTTCAATTTGGTGATAAATCTTTTCGGAGCAATCGTACCTACTCGTTTCTTCTGCGTCGCAATGTTATGAAAAAGGTCAGCAAGACAAGTCAATAAATTTTCTTTTTCTCTTCCTGAAATCAGTAAATTCGAAGAAATAAAAAAGAGAAATTTATAAATGAAATGTGAATAGAAAGACACGTAATGGATTGGGAGGATACTAAACTGTCGAGAAATATTGCTTTAATCATCTTAAATAAGATGCCGATCATATCATACAACCTGATTCTTTATCATATGATTTCTTCAACTGTTGCTTATATTGCAAAATTTTTTCACGGAATGGGCGGCAAAAATAAAGCGCCTGAATAACCGAATTGCAGTAACAGGTATTACCGAACTGAAATGAACAAGCAAATAAGACAGTAAGTATGCAAATAACTAAGAAATTTATAAAGAAAGTAAATCCTAGGTTAAATACGGGGAGATCTGCCCATAAACTACCCGACTTAAAATAATTCCCTTTTTATTTCATCAACTGAATTCAATCAAAATCTTTAACTGCTAGCATCTTTTTAGTTTTTTGCAGAAATAATTTTAATACAAACATTAACTAGTCCATAAAAATGTTCATTGCTCAGTAAGTGATCGGAACCGATTTCTTTTTCCAACTGAGATGAAGCGTTAGCACCCTAAAATAAATCAGTAAACTTTCTGAAAAGCATGACTTAACTTCTCAATGCACTTTTGTTCATACCTACATCAAGTATAGTGTTACGTGAATGTAACAATGAAAAAAGGTAAACGAACGAAGGAATGGGAAATCTCGTGTTACATGAGTATGTGTAAGTGCAACATTCCCATTCACTATATATCAATGATAACGTAGAAATTTTAAAGCAATAAGAATTCCTTAATTTCTTTCCTCGGTGCATTAATGTTCGATGAATAGCTTTCCGATTAAATGTCCATGCGACGTCATTTCGTGTACAGTTTTCAACAGCTTATTTTGAACTGAACTTGCATGACATCCACCAAAAAAAGAAGAAAAATACTATAGAGGAGAAAAAGGAAGAGAGAAAGATAAAAAAGATGAACCATAATTAGGAAGAATAAATAAACGATACGATCAACACAGTAGTTTATTTTCGCTGTTTGCAATTATCTTTAGCTCTTCACTTTTGACCCTTCCACTTCGACCTCACCTTTCAAATAACTTCATCTCCAACAATCACCATTCTGAAAATTCAACAGTCCGGTGTTATGCATTTTACAAATTATCTTTCGCCGTAACATCATGTGATAATTCTCGACCCGCTATTGGTCGATTCTAATGTCGGACCCTTCGCGTAATTTCAATCCACGCATCAAATTACATGAAATGACGCTGTGCGTCCTGAATCCTGGTCTCCATTCCTGAAGAAGTATCCGGCATACCGTCACACTATTGCATATATGAAGGAGCTTATCCATAGCAAAATTTGGTGTGTACGGATGTATTATTTCTCCACAGTTTCCATACCAGTAATCCTGTATATATATATATATATATATATATATATATATATATATATATATATATATATATATATATATATATATATATATATATATATATATATATAT